TGACCTTTTGACTCTTTATCATCACAACCTTTAATTCACCGCTATGACCACCTTTTGATCCCTCATCACGACTTCTTGATCCTTTGCCATGACCCTTTGATCCTTTACTATGACCTCTTGATTCTCTGCCATGACCTCTTGATCTTCTACTATGACTGCCACTTGAACTACTACCTGCAAATCCAATTTTACCATCACCATCTTTATCTTAATTATCTTGTTTAACTTCTAAAGTTGATAAACTATATAGATTAAAATGTGATAAAGCATTATCAATTAAGAGCAAAATCTTTTTGTTTTATATTCTAAAATAATTGTCCATTTCATAAAGCACCTCTTCAAAAACTGAAGAATTTATCCATACTTTTAGATTTTCACGATAATAAACCAGAAGGCATTTTAAATTAACTTTCAAAAGTGATCTTAGACATTTAGTATTACCAATTACCTATGGTTTGAGTTTATCTATTCCTATTGCATTAGAGTCAAGAAGTACAGTAATTTTTGACTTGTTTTTTTTTTGGCTAGAAATAGGTTTTAGTAGAAGGGTTTGGTTAGGAGACATTTGATAGAAAAGATTCTTTGTAATAATAAATTATATATTAGTTTAAAAAATAATAATGTAAATAAAATAATATGTAAATAAAATAAAATAAACTTACAGTTTTATCAATATTGTAAATTCTATCAAGAGTATACTACCCTAAAATTAATTGCAACCTTACTCATTTTTCTGGAAGTAATACTAATGGTACACTTCTTGACTCTTCATGCATATGATATTTACGAACGTTATTATATTTTTGAATTTATATAATCAACCATTAGAAAACATACATTCATTTTCTTGTATATTGAGTGCATTGGCAAAAAATCTTACCTTTTTTTTTATTAATAAATCTGTTAGAATAATCCTATTTACTGTTACATTTTTTATTTACAAATTCATAGCATAATCAAGTTTTAGAAATTTGACTCCTTTATATCTAAAAATTTTCTTAAAACCTTTTTCTATCACAGAGATCCACTTTTCACTTTTTTTCAATATTTTTGATACAGTGCTGCATTCAATATTTAAAGTTAAGTCTTTTTCATTGAAATAATCTGCAATTTCTGAATGTGTTTTATTTTTATTATTTTGTGACCATTCACAAATTTGTTTTTTGAGATCAATACTTATGGCTAAACTGTGCTGTTTGGATCTGTTGGGTCTATCAGGAGGCATTATAAAAAAGATAGAAAAAAGGTTATTTGAAAATTGCTTTGAAAGGATTCTTGGAAAGCTTTTAGTGACAAAGCTATGATAACAAACATTATATCTATTAATTGATATGGAAAAACTTCCACCATAGGATAAATATAGAAACTATGTAAAATTCAAAAAATTCAAGAGGATTGCTCTATTTTCCAAGTGTTACAAATTATTATTCTATTTTTTAAGCTTTTATTGAAATGCGTTACATTTTTACATATTTTACATGTTAAATTTTTACTTATTACATTTTTTTATGTGTTACAAAAAAAAATAATCAATTAAATTTATTTAATCTAAGCCAATCAGAAATTTTGTGATTATAAAGAGGTTGAATTACTAACAAAAATGATATGTACATTATAAACATAATGTGATAGTAATTATTACCGATTTGTGATTATATAGAAGTATTTTAATAATATTAAAATCTGTTTATAAAAATAAGTGCTTATAAGGAGGTGTAACTGTATAGGAGGTGATTGTATAGAGATCTAACTGTATTTTCTTTTTATTAGTAATATATTATTTTAAGATTTTATGATTATACAATATATATTTTTTTGTTTTTATAATAATTTAATATAATATTATTTAAAAAAGTATAATTAATTATTGTTTTAAAATTAAAATTCAAATAAAACAAATAATAATTTTTCTTGAAAAATATATTTCTGAAATTAGAAATTTAAAAAGATAATTTATATATGCAAAATTAAATTTTATAATTCTATTTATAACTTATTATTTTAAAGTTCAAATCTATTAAAAATAAAATTTTATTTAAAAAATTATTCTAAAAAAATAAAAAACAAAATTATTAGTAATATTTATAGCATAAAATATAAATATATTAATAGAATTATAAATAATCTTTATCGGCATTTAAAAAAGAAATATTTTATAAAAATTAGAAAAATTAGAAACAAAAGAATGATGAATAAATATATTAATAAAATATTATTTATAAGTATATTTATTTTATTTATTAAATTATATAATTTATATATAATATTCTCTAACATTTTAATAGATTATTTGTGATGATCAATCTTTTTTAACTTTTGAATCAGAAAATCTATAAAATATATTTTAAATATTAAATTCTTAAAATACTTTTAGTTGATATTATTCATATGGATATAATAAAATATTTTAATCAAGAATATATAAAAATACAAAATATTCTATAGATAATTATTTATTTTTATTTTTATTTATATTAATTTAATATTAATATTTGTTTTTATTTTAAAATATTTCTGATTATATATTATTTATAATTAATGTATAGATATTAGTTATTTTAAGAATACAATTTATTGGACTTCTAAAAGAATAAAAATTAATAAATTAAATAAGACTTATTCTAAAAAAAATTTAGTAAAATTTTTTATTTATTATTATAATAATTTTAAAATTCTTATTAAGGTTTATACAACGTTTCAATTATGCTTAAAAGAAGAAAAGCTTTTAATGACATTTTATTTATTAGTATAACTTAAAAATTAAGCTATTAAAAAAAAAATACTAAAATATTTTTTTCAGTTATAAAATGAAAAAAGTTATACTTAAAGAATGACGAGTGACTGTCAATGAACTTTAGGCTTATGGTATTCAAAATGCTCTAACTATAATAAAACTAACTAGTGTTTCTATTTTTATATCATATAAGTATATTATATAACTAAAAAAAATCATGAATTTAAACCAATTTTACATTTTAAAAGATCTACAATTTTAATTTCAAAAGACCAAACTGTATTAAAAAGAATTATATAAAATGACAAATATTTTACTTGTAAAGAAATTATAATAAAACTTAGTTCTAAAGTTAAGACTATAAATTGTGAGCTTAATAAGATTGAATATTATTCAAATTATTCAAAAATAGCACCTTTATTTACAGTAAAACAATATAAATATTGTGCGAAATAAGCTATTACTCATCTTAGATAAATTGAAAAAAAGTTAAATTTTCAGATAAGATAATGTTTCAGATGTTCTGAAATATCATGAAAGCTTTTCATAAATTAAGACAAGTATTCTATATAAAGGAGTTCTAAAATATCTAGTAAAAGTTCATATGTAAAGTACATTCTCAATATATGAAATGATTAGTTTTTATATATTTACTCAAAATATAGATAGATAGTTTTATTGTAAAATTTTAATTGACTACTTATTTGAAAATGTATCTAGGATTATACTATCATATTAGACCTTTTAATAGGATAACAATCTAAAATATCAAGTTAATCTTATAATCACTTTACTTTAGAATCATTATTCTCAAATTCTTAATTGGTTTTTCTATAGCCTAGATCTTAATCTGATAGAAAACTTATGATCTATTATTAAAAAAAAGAGTAGAAAAATAAGTTAATAAAATAATTAGAAAATAAAATTAGTACTGAGTGTTAGTAAAAATAATTAAGAAGAAATAGGAGGTATCTCTAAAGAGTTATGTTTGAATTTGATAAATAGGATGCCATATCATTTAAATGAAATAATTGAAAATAATGGTAAAAAATTAATCATTAGTATATATATATTTTTTGTGCACAAATATTAAATTTATATATCTATAAAGTTTTAATTTAAATAAATAAAATCTGCAAATTTTATTGTTAAAAATAATTCTTGTTATATATAACAAGCATTATATATTTTTTTTAATTTTTTAAAATTTAATCTACAACTATAATTTATATTTAGTTATATTATAAATTTAAAATTATATAACTAATAATATCAGAAATAATAATATCATAATAAAAGAAGTCGTGATGAGGGATCAAAAGGTGGTCATAGCGGTGAATTAAAGGTTGTGATGATAAAGAGTCAAAAGGTCA